TAGATAGATAGATAGATAGATAGATAGATAGATAGATAGATAGATAGATAGATAGATAGATAGATAGATAGATAGATAGATAGATAGACTAAATTCAAAGTGAATTATGTGATTTAATCTGTTAAGTTCAAATCTCCATTCTTTCCCTTAGTTTTGCATGTGTTTGCGTTTTTTTTTCTTTGTCTTTTCTTATTTTGTCACTTGTTTACAGTTTTATTATTATTCGTACTTCTAATGTGCTTGTGTCTGACAATGGGCCGTGTATGTGTGTGCGTGTGTGTCTGAGGATGATGATGGTCCATGTTGTGTTACTTGTTGTTTGTGTGTGTGTCCCCCGATGACCCCTGGCGCCGGAGCGTCTAGACTACATTAGAGATGTGTCACATCCAAGAGCCGCACCTGCGCTTATAGAGAGCGCATACATAGAGGTGAGGTATGAGGATAAATGGATAGATGCGGTCCTTTTTCGAAGCTGAGCGCACAGTTGTATTTCCTGCACAATCACACACGAAGTGAGGCTGTGTGTATGCCGGTTATACCATGAATATAAACCCTGCAGGCACCGCTTGTTTGTCAAACTGTTTATGAAGCAAAAGTCACATTTCTGTTTATTTACAAAGCAAAAAGAAGGGGGGGAAAGAGGCGTAGGAGGGGGCGGAGCTTAGATACGTGCGGGGGAGTTGTGGGTCATTTGCGTTTAGTTGGACGCGTGCGCACTAGCATACCGGCGACGGCTGTTCAAACGGTGGCCTAGCGAATAAGGGGATTACGGAGCCCAATCTGACAGGTTAGATAACGAAAAACGTTTATATTTTTAGCTGTGTACGTGTGGCAGCGATTCATAATGAAAAGTTAAATGAATTCTTACTGTCTGAGACGGTGGTCTGTCGTTTGCGCTAACGTTAATGTTGGATTTTGGTACTAAGCTAACGTTAGCTACAGCAGTTAGCCGCTGGCTGCCAGCTAGCTTTCGATAGTAGAGGAGGCTAAGAGCGGCGTTGACATTAGCCAGCTGATCAAGTGTACCCTCCCGGGGGACTTGTGCTTTTAGGTTTTCCTTGTGCTTGTCCGAGTTGTGAGTTGACAACGGAAACCATCTACTGGACCCCGATCAGTAGATGGTAAAATGATGCTTTCTTTCCACGCAGCATCAAGCCACGGGAAGCTAATAGGCTAGCTGCTATCCTTACATGACCCTGTTTGTTGAACAATCTTTTTTGAGAGGAATGATACACACCGGTAGCTATGCCAGCGTTGGCTACGTTAGTTGGTGTCTGTCTTGCTAGTCTTTGCAGTACAGTTGGAGGTGTTTTAATAAAAAAGAAAAAAAAAACAGAGGGTTTGTTTCTCAGTTGGGAACTTTGAAAGATTTGCTCCAAAGCATATCCAAATAATAGACTTCCTACTCTTCTCAGGCTGCACAATGAGTCAGGGTAAGGACAATGCACGTCTCAAAAGCTACAAGAATAAGTCTCTCAACACAGATGAGATGAGAAGGAGGAGGGAAGAGGAAGGCCTGCAGCTCCGTAAACAGAAGAAGGATGAGCAAGTAAGCAATGTGTTATACTGTACAACTAAAACCGTCATAATGATCCTGAAATTACATGCTGATAGTGTTCGGAGTAAGCATGAGGCCATGCTTTGTTTGTAGCAATTTAGTTTTGGAAGGGAAATGCATATTTGTCCTTCTGTTGCAGCTTTTTAAGAGAAGAAATGTTGCCACTGTGGAGGATGATGGCATCCTGGATGAGGATGGGATGGCTGATAGCGGCTATCTGGAGTCCCAGGCCAACAACATGGACCCACTCATGGTGAGAAGGCATTCATATGTCTGTTCTGTCACACATACACTCCTCTCTGCTAATCAGATGGCATCTAAAAATCTTGGCTTTATGTTTAAATTAATATTTGGGTCATTCTTCTGTAAAACTCAGGCTGGAGGCTGTAGAGGAGCTTTTCTGTATCATGTTCTAAACAGCACAAGTTTTGATGCATGCAGTGACATTGACACGTAGTGAGCCACACAAATAGCATGTTGAATCTTTCACACACCGTGCAGTGTGTTTGTCGCCTCACCAGACCACAATGATGTGTGCAAAGTTACATTTTATCACACAAACTGTAATTTGCATAAATTCCTATGTGATGCATTTAGTTTAATCAGTAAGAGCACTGTCTCTAAGCATGTTTAAGAGGAGTGAGCTACAGCTTTCTCAGCACCACTGAGCAGACTCCCTGCTCCAAGTGGCAAAAATGAAAGTGAAACATTCAAAAGTGTAGATACGCTTCCCTCTTGTCAACTGACAAAATTCATTGTACCAAAAAGATTCCTGATATCCAGGCGTATGAGATGTCATCACTCAGTGCACACATCAAGTCGGCTGTGACAGCAATTCATGTGTTTTTAAAAAAAATCCCCATTGTTGTGCACACAGGGTGGGGTGATCTCTGAAGACATGATTCAAATGATTTTCTCCAGCTCTCCTGAGCAGCAGCTAATAGGTACTCAGCGCTTTAGGAAACTACTTTCTAAAGGTAAGCAGGACTCTAACTTTGCCCATTACAGCCACTCCTGTCTTTGCATTTGTTTCAGTATGTCTTACAAGGGAAGGATAATGACTGGTTGAGGCCCAGTGCAAGGACAAAAGCATTGTTTTGAGCTCCATAATCTGCCACTCTGTCTCACAGTTAACTGCTGCCTAAAATTCAGAACTACACAATATCAGTGTGGCTGGAGTGAATGTTACATGGGGTGTAATGCTGTTAAGTGTGCCTGTATTAATTGTTTCTACGTCACCTCACCCTCCCTCACACGCAGAACCCAACCCACCTATTGATGAAGTCATTGCCACTCAAGGGGTGGTGGAGCGCTTTGTTGAGTTCCTGAAAAGAAGAGAAAACTGCACATTGCAGGTACGTTTTCCTAGAAAACTAATTTTAGATTATATTTGAAGCTTGTAGATTTTTGTTTTTTTCCCCCCTCATGTTTGTTTGTAATGTGCTCTCTTCCTGTTTCACCATCGTATCTAAAAAGTTGCATGTGTTGTGAGTTCAGTGCACTAACTTTCTTCATATATTTTGAATATGATTGTAGTTTGAGGCTGCGTGGGTATTGACCAACATTGCTTCAGGTACGTCTCACCAGACACGGGTGGTCATCCAGGCAGGAGCTGTGCCTATATTCATAGAGATGCTCAGCTCGGATTTTGAGGACGTACAGGAACAGGTGAGGAGGCTTCATTTTTACCTTTCCTGGTGTCTACTGACCTCTGGCAGCTTGCTGAGGTCAAATTTAAACTGATTAAAATTGTAGTTTTTCATGTTGTTTTTATTGTTTGACTTGAATAATTGCTTCATCCCTCAGGCGGTGTGGGCCTTGGGAAACATAGCAGGAGACAGCACAGAATGCAGAGACTTTGTCATAGACTGCAACATACTGCCCTCACTGGTGCAGTAAGTATCCCTTCAGTCTTACATTCTCTGCTTTTGAAGTTTCCTCTACGGGGAAACAAAGAGCAACTTTGATTGCGATTGTCAAATTTTCCTCTTGCAGGTTATTGGCCAAACAGAATCGTCTAACAATGATGAGGAACGCAGTGTGGGCGCTCTCAAACCTGTGCAGAGGAAAGAACCCACCTCCAGATTTCACTAAGGTAATTTGCCAAGATAAACACATCACTATGGTAACTGCACACCTCTTAGACTGCTTAAAGGCACATCGTATCTCAGATTTCAAGGTCGCAGGCTATATGAAGATACTAATATGCTAAACTGGATAACAGTTACACCTGCTGAATGTGTCCCTTTGTTTCTTGCAGGTGTCTCCGTGTCTCAGCGTGCTGTCTTGGCTGCTGTTTGTAAATGATACGGACATCCTAGCTGACGCATGCTGGGCGCTCTCCTACCTATCAGATGGCCCAAATGACAAAATCCAGGCTGTTATTGACTCGGGAGTCTGTCGCAGGCTCGTCGAACTGCTGATGTGAGAGCCAAAACAAACACACACACAGATATTTTCAGAGGCGTTCTACAAAGGGATTTAGTGTATGCGAAACACTTGGACTCTAGTTAAATACCCATAAAGTGACAAGTAACACATGGGTGCTATAAATTAACAGGACTGAAACATCGGGAAGAATTAGGTTATGTTGTTGAGGAAGGGTGCAAAGGTGCATTTAAGCGGGTCTGACAGCACATGTTGACCTTAGTAAGACTGCATTTTTTTTCCCCTTTTAATTTGTCACCTAGTAACAACAAATAGTGGTTTAACATTATTGCTACCATCCTAAAACTGGAGGGTTAACATTTCTAAAACTTGATGAAAAACTGTATCATCTCACACTAAGACTTTGCTTTTTGTTCCAGACACGTGGATTATAAGGTGGTCTCTCCTGCACTGCGGGCTGTTGGAAACATAGTCACTGGAGATGATTTACAGACACAGGTGGTAGCTGCATCACAACAGACAGATGTGATAAAAGTTTATGCAGAAGGCAATGGCTCTTTGTGACTCTGTGAACATTTGGTATTTTTCTAGGTGATTCTGAACTGTTCAGCACTGCAGTCTCTACTTCAGCTTCTGAGCAGTCCCAAGGAGTCTATCAAGAAGGAAGCGTGTTGGACAATCTCCAACATCACCGCAGGGAACAGAGCACAAATACAGGTGTGCTGCGCATTCTTACAGACTAACCTAGAAAAAAAACCTTCCTTTAATTTGTTCCCTGAGATTGAACAAGCTAACTATTGGAGCTGCTAACAAATTGTTTCCCACTTCTTGTAGATGGTGATAGATGCAGGTCTGCTGCCTCCGCTCATCAATATCCTGCAAGTAGCAGAGTTTCGCACAAGGAAGGAGGCAGCGTGGGCCATTACCAATGCCACCTCAGGGGGTTCTGCAGAGCAAATCAGGTACAAACTGTGCACAATATACAGCCAGTGTACCCATAATAGTCACACGTGTCTTGAGTGAAGAAGTCAACTGATGCCACTGATTTTAAATTATACAGACTCTTCCATTATAAACAAACCTACTTCTGTTTTTCATTGTTGTATCATTTAAGACTCGAAACTATTATTTTGTATTCATAGTTTAAAGTGCATAAAATCTAAATATTATATGTAGCAAATGTGACTTCAAACAGGTTTATTTGAATCATTTTTCAAGACAGTGACTTGGAGAGGGATTAGGGAAGTTGCCATTCAGCTTGTAGCCTTGCATGTCTGCATTTCTTTCAGTGCACTGTGTTGTTCACTGATTAATATGTTGCAAAAGGTATTTTTCTTCAATGACTATTAATGTCTACTCTGTGTGTGTGCTGCCATCTGCAGGCACTTAGTGGAACTTGGGTGTATAAAACCTCTGTGTGACTTGCTCACACTCATGGACTCCAAAATAGTTCAGGTGGCTCTAAATGGCCTGGAGAACATCCTGCGACTGGGAGAATTGGAGGCCAAGAGGGGAGGAGGCATCAACCCCTACTGTGCACTCATTGAGGAAGCCTATGGTAAGTAATTAAATCCGGACGAAGGAAATAGGAAAGTAACGGTACTAGTCAGCAACCCTGGTCACTGGCTAATCTTTTATTTTCTGGAGTGTGCCTCCTCTATTTTAGCACTACTCTCCACCTTTTATCTTTACAGGTCTGGACAAACTGGAGTTCCTGCAGAGCCATGAGAACCAGGAAATCTACCAGAAAGCCTTTGACCTGATTGAGCGCTACTTCAACACTGAAGATGAGGATCCATCTTTGGCTCCAGCCGTCGACCTGCAGCAGCAGCAGTTCCTCTTCCAGCAGTGCGAGGCCCCGATGGAGGGCTTCCAGCTATAATGCTAATTCCTCCCTTTTCCCAGAGCTCCACGTTCATCCTCACCTTTGCTCCCGTCTCACTCTATCCCTACAGCCATGATCCAGGGTGACATACCTCGGCCTCCCCCTCCCGTTCCCCTTCTCATTGTCTGAGAGGTTTAATCATCATCATGATTATTAAAAGCATACCATTAAAGGGGCACACTCTGTTCATGCATCCAGCACGGGTGAATTCTGCAGTCTTGTCAGCCAGTTCAAGGTTTCACTCATTCTGTCTTTTGCTGAATCAATTTTTTCCCTCAGCACCTGGACCTCTCCTGTGTGGTTAAGCCCCAACCTTTCCAGCTATAAACTTTTCCTATAACTCCATCCCCACATTATTGCTATTTTTTTTTTTTTTTTTTTTTTTTTGGGGGGGGTGGGGGGGGGACAATCTCTGAAACCCTAGCTTATCCCCAATAAAAGAACCTCTTTGTGGTCCTGTAGGATTGGCTTTTGCTAGCTCTTGAGTCAGTGGTAGTATTTGGGCTGCACTGCTTGTCTGATTGAAGCATTAATGAGTCTCGAGACAAACATGGACATGATTTCAATTTCTTTCTTTTCTTCTTTTCTTTTTTTTTTTAATATATATATATATTATATATTATATATTATAATCAACAACCCCACCCACACCGCATCCACATTGAGAGTAATGAACCTAAACACTGGACTGACCATGAGACGTTGACCACACACTCGACTGTGGTCACTGGACTGAAATGCCCACACTGGGCCACATGGCTAGTTCCAAAATAAAGACTGATCTGACCACTACGAAAGGCACGACTCAAGAGTGAAGGTTGCTCTCCGATCGCAGATGGACAATTTTAGAAATTGCTGAAGGTTGGAGCTCCTAGGTGACAAATCAGGCTGCTTGCATTCCCACCTGGATCTCATATCACGCATTCCTCTTTCCAGTAATGGGACTATTCCACCTGCACAGGCTCCATCCCGAAGAGTTTAGACTGCCTGCTGCCTTCTGGTGTGACGTGAATTAACCCCATGGAATCATGGGAACCTGAGTCTTCCCACGCACTGAGACAACTGGACAGACTTGGACAAGACAAAAAAGACTATTTAACCCTGGTTTCTGTCCAGCAGCAGACCAGTGGGGAATTTTTTTTTTTTTTTTTTTTTAAATTACCATAATTTCATTTCTTTTGCAGCACTTTAGTTCAGGACTGATGCCTGCTCATTGACAATAGACCACCGTTTATACATTAGCTATGTAATTGGTTAATGACACAGCTCTTCCCTCCTAAAAATGCGAGGTGCAAAGAGGTGGTCTTTATCATTGTCCCCCCCACCCTCCTGGTATGACAAAGATTTACACTGTTTTGCCCTTAACCAGAGAGACTCGAGCAGTTTGTGGACTGAAAATGTTAGCACACACTTTCGAGGATCATGGTGCCTCAGCAAAGCTAGAACTTTTATTCTAACAAAGCAACCTCTACCAATCAGACAGCATTTTGAAAATTGGCCGTTTAGCTGTTAGCTGTGTAAAACATAACTTTCAAATACGTGTTCAGGTAGTATTTTTTTTAATTTGATCATGCCAAATCAGAAACATACAGTATGCCAGCTATTAGGCCCACAGTTGGTCTTATTTTCAATAAAGTGTTTTATTTTGTTTTTTTTAATTTGGGGTTTAGCATCTGCCATGTAGCTGATGGTGCCATAATCCTTATTCTACAGAAATCCTTCCACATAATTTCAAGAAAAATCCAGATTAAAACTTGAAAACCCCGGTGATCACCTTAGTTAGCAAAACTGAATGTTTGTTTACCAAGTCCTCTTTACATTGCTTATTTTTGTCAAACTCTTAGCAAAAGATGACCAGCTCTACGTGTTCATTACTGTTTGTTGTACTGGGTTTGTGCATCTGTCCCCTGTTATGCCATTTGCATAAAAGTCGTTTCATGAACTACAACGTTTAATCTGTTTCATTATAGTCACTGAGTCTTTTTGTTTGTTTTCATTAGATTTTTATTAACTTGCTTCCTTCAGTTTAAGGTAGCAACTAATTATTTTCCGTGTCATTATATCAAAGCATGTTAGAATCATAACTGCTAAAAGATAGCTGAAGCCACCGTGACATCACTCTGATTGCACGGTTAAAGTCAGTAGGAGCCACACAGAATCCATGCATCTGTGGCTGTGAGAGGGCGATGGGTGGAAAGGTAGTGAAGGTGGATTCAACCATTCAAAACAGAAGACAGTGCAGGCGGGGTTGAGTGGGTGGAGATGAGCGTTTGATGAGAGTAAAAAAGAAGATCTACAAGATAATAGTAGACCCTGCTCTTGTGTATGGTTTGAAAAGGGTAGTACTGACAATAGACAGAAGACTGAGCTGGAGGTGGTTGAGCTGAGGATGCTAGGACCAGAATAGACAAAATTAAAAATTAGTACATCAGAAGGACAAGGGTCAAGGGTTTTGGAGGCAAGGCTGAGATGGTTTGGACATGTGCAGAGCAGGGATGGTGAATGGATATGGAGCTGCCAGGCAAAAGAGGAAGACCATAGAAAGATTTATGGTTGTAATGAAGGAGGACCAAAAAGGATGCTAATCAATGGGGTGAGATGTAGGCAGATGATCTGCTGTGGTAACCCCTAAAGGATGCAGCTTCGGAAAGCAGCTATTTTGTAAAGCTTTACTTTGATTAATATTTTGGCTGCTTCCATGTGTTTTCAGAGCCAGGAAGGATTACGTTTGGATGCAAGTGGAGTACAAAGTTGTTTAAGGACTTTAAACTGGATGGGTGCATCACAGACATTTCCTAATTTGTGCTGAGTGACAGTGGTTTTTGGTTGTAAATCTGTTTTAAATACTCTTAAGGTTGAACGTTCATCCACTAGGAACTGCCTGTATGCTCTCGCCTCATGAATCCAGGTGTTGTTATGCACCAGGGTGAAACCAGGATCCATGGTACCAGTGTAAGCGCTGACAGCATCCTGGAGTTGGACTACCTGTGCAGCCCCTCTAAGGTCCAGGTATTACCTCATACCAACAGTACTGACAATGAACATTAAAACTCGGGTTTTTACCTTTACTCAATTATTAAAAAGGGAATGTCCACAATTTAGGGTTTTTGAATGTAGGATATTTTATTAAAGCAATTTAGCAGAAGCCAAGCACGACCTATCTTAATGACCTATTCTGAGCTAATGTTGATCTAGTTCTAATCTTTGACCGAGATTGGAGAGAATGACCACACCTTGGCCACTGACGCACTTCTCTTCTGTGTAGATATGTAACCCAATGGGAGAGAAGCAGAGGCCAAAATCCTGTTGAATTTATGATCTAACACAGGAAAATAAGCAGAGAAACAGTCAAAAATTATCAAAAAAACCCCCAAAACAACAAAAACAAAACACTTAACCTCACTCAGTGCTTAGTCATCCTAGCCGTGTGCCATGTTTACATACCCTGCATGTGTAAGAACCACCACAGCACGCACACACACACACAGCAGTAAAAGATAAAGGCAGGTGGTAGAATAATTTCATTGCTCCAACTTTTGTTAATCAAAGATTTACTATTGGCGAAAGCACATACAGCTAAACTCTATTATAGGACTCTGTATCATTTCACCCATGATGATAGATAAGACCTTTTACCACCCAGCCGATATAATGAGAGGTAAGCCAGGAGAGATCAATCAAATCTTTCTCACCAAGTGATACGCTGATTAAAAAGTGGTCCTTTAAGTTTTGAGCAGTATAGTTCGTGACGATATTGCAGGGAAAATATACCATAGTATCCAAATTACCCTCCAAAACTTTAGTAAAGATAGCTGCAAAAAAAAGAAAAAAAAAAATTAAAAGCGGTATTGGTCACAAATGGTGAATATTTCCTGAAATAAGCCTTCCAAAAGCCTTGGAAGGTGCCCACATGTGCCCAAACCAGGGGTCATTAAATTACACTGCACATTTTTATAGAAGCACTGCTTTATTGAACTAGTTTTGGTGCTCACCACATACAAACACAGATAGCACATCATAGTGGCCGTGAAATAAGAAGCCCAGTTAGAGGGGTATCAGGACAGACAGCCCACTGCACAGGTGAACAAGTCACATCCAATCAGCTACTTAATGTTCCACAAAAAGGGGAAAGACAATGTTTTTACAAGGCATAATTGCACATTCCTGCAATAAACCCTCCACTGGTCTGAGACAATGAAATGCCACTACCAAAATAATGGCTTGTGCCATTAATCAAGTGCCACTTTGTAACCCTGTTATTTATATACATTCACTAAGTAGATACATTTTGCATCAGGTACTCAATTATTGCAAAACTATTGTTAAGGCCAATTTCCTTGTTGCAAAAGCACTACTCAGAATTTACTGCTGATTTTTTTTTTGGTTGCACTACACCTTCAAAGGTTGGGACTGGAGAAGTTGTGGTATACACAGAAAGTGGGATGCTATTGACTTGGGTTAGAGAATGAGCGTGTCTGAATGAGTCATCTTCCATTACTGAGCCTTGTCAGACAGGGCAATGGCACTTTCGCGTGGTTTCTGGTGTTCTTCTCTCCATCTGGCTTTCTTCTCGATGTTTAGTGCCGTCAGGGTCTCATTCCTGGCAAGAGCCTGCAGAAAAACAGGAGAATACATGTGGCATTATTTAAATGTGAATGAAAATACAGAGGCAATGCATGAATCAAAGCAGTGAGAATTGAATTACTCACTAATTATTAAAATTCTTGCAGGGGACTTAATTGTGATACATTTTCCGCTTCGATATGCTTTTTTTTTTTTTTTTTTTAAACATAGGTTGAAATGTCACATTGGGAACTTTGGGACATTTTGTGACCAAACTTTTAATTGCAAGTCATTGCTCTGTTTATTCATAACATGACGTAGATGAGTTTATGTGAACAGGCAGGTTTAAACCTGCTCTTTTACATTACTGGATAGCAGTGATGACATGTCTGTCCTTGTTGACAGTTACTGGTGTTGAAAAGAGAAAAAAAAAAAAGTTTCATGCAAGACTCATTCATTATTCTTACCCTTTTGCCCAGAAACACCATAATCATACAGGCTCCTATCGTGGCAGCCATCATCACGTAGGCAGCCTTTACTCTGATTTTGTTTCTGGCAGCGTCAATCATCTCAAACCTGTAGAAGAAGCACATGTACACATGAACACTCATTAGGAAATGTTTTCTTGGCTCAAAAGAAGGCTTGAAACATAAGACTTCAGCATTTAATCTTGTTATCGTTATTGAAGATCAGCGCAGCAGCATGATATTTACGGGGCCTTTTGTTCCAGTTATAGCAGCATTGGTGACTGTCAGCAGATAGTCTCTTGGGTCCTTCACACATTTTTCTTTGTTTTGGATACTGGGGCTTTTGAGTACATGACATAGGAGGGCTTCTGTTTATAAGCTTGCCATGCAGGTTTTTACATCGCAGCAGCAGATCAGATGTGATCTCCACCCCGATGCCAAGATAATCCTCTCCAGTCACCAATAGAAGGCTTGTTTGAACTGCAGCTGTCTGAGGACCAGCTACACGCTGTGCCGCCGCTCATCCTGTTAGTTAGCCCTGTTCTTGTGATGTAACTTAACTGAATGTGACAGAGGCAGTGGGACTGCGGTGTGCCGGAAGGTCTGGTATAAACAGGAAAAGGCTACTTACGACACAGTCTCTGGTATCTGGTCTGCTGACTTGAAGCGCCCTGACCAGATCAGCATCTTCTTGTCCATATCTGAGGGCCTGTAGCCTGGGAGTCTGAATGCGGGACGCGGCTCTGTGTGAATTAACAAAGCATGCATTATAATGAAGCCTGCAACTCCACGTGCTTCCTGAACAAAAAGCCGGAGATTCACATCATGACCTGCAGACTGCGACCTCACTTCCTGTGTCCCTCTTAGTCTTTTGGGATTTAAAAAAAAAAAAAAGTCACATACTTAGCCATCACAAATACCCTGTAACGCACAAAGTCAACATTTTTAGAATACTCTTACATCACTATGAGTGTAGCATTTTCCACATTAAAGTCATGCCACACATTTATATGAAAACCTTGAAGTTCAAATTCAAATTTAGAAGCTGGTATTTAGTTTTTTCAGATTTATCAGTAAATATTGTGCATTGTCTTATGATGAGTTTTGAGCTCATCTGTTGTTCAAACCCTACCATGTGCTGGTGCTGCAGGTGGGGACTCCGCTTTGGTCCCCTGCAGTTTATTGCACATCCCTCTGTGGCTCCATGTCTGAATGACATGTCTCCTCTGACCTGTTTAGATACAGAACTAGTATCACATCGAGTAAAGCAGGAAGTCACATTAGTGACGATAGAACTAGCTGATGCTACTGAAAAAAGAAATTAAACGTTAAACAAGAAAATTAGTAACGTTTACATTAACATTACAAATTTTAGAACAGCCCTTAAAAGGCTCAAAATAAAATTACGCTGGGGAAAATCTCTTCATGCGAAATCAAAGGATTACCGTTTACCCCCACTTAATCTCATTTTATTCATTTATTTTTACAATTGTGTGATAGCTATCTATCAATCACACAATTGTTTGTTTGTTTGTATACACACACACACACACACATATCATAGCACTTTAAGTTGTGTATTTATTATATACCGTTATTCTTTATCCTCCTGATACAAAAACAATTTTCCTTGTGGGCTCAATAAAGTATCTATATCTAAACCCCTAAATTGGACACAAGTGAGTACTACATGACAAAAACAGAAATCATCGCACCTGAAGGGGCTAAAACTGACAACTGTTTAATTTTACTTACAAACAAAGAAACAAACCACGACTACGAACATCTTCAATTATAGACACTGTTCCTACCAAGCAGGAGTGCCTGGTTAACCAGGCCTGAATAGCGTATAATGATAATAAAACAAGTTAACTAGGCCAAGTGTTAATTTACCGAGACACCACGCACCAATTTACACAAACTGCCTTTACTGCCACAAGCACAAACACCATTTCAACAAATGCAAGACGTCGAAAAAGCATCAAATATTTATTTATAACCGAGTACAGAACTCACTCACAGCTGATTTAAAAAACAAATAACATCAACAAGCATCGGATTAGAGAGTATTCAAGCGACTTATTACGCAACGAAAACACAGAAATTCAAGTTAGCTATACGAACCGAGGAGGCTGCCGATGGAAAGGCGGGATCTGATGAAATTCATGCTTTTGCTGATTGAATACACAAAGTCCAGTGTTTCTAAAAAGCCATTTAAGTGCGCTGGAAATCTGTCAGTCCCTCCTCAGCTGCTGAAAGTCAAACAGCTAACAGGACCGTCAGATAGGACGCTGTGTCGTGTGACTGATCAAAAGAAACAAGCTAGGGCCCGTATTTATGCCATTAGGACAGCGTTCATACGGATCGGGTAGTGACAGCCCTGTGGCTGTGGTTGGGTCTTTGCTTTCGCTAGGTTGTGGTTGAATTATTAGGAGTCTCAAACAGGGCTGCTGGGAGTTAAGCTAAAGTTGAGAAGAACAAGTGGAAAATGTATTATTATAAATGGCGCTATTCACTATAGTTGCATTTTTATCTATTTTAATATATTTACTTTGCGTTAATACGTGCGGCAGATGTTAATTTGTGAATGCGGCAAAAACAAATAAATAACATTTAGGCATTATTAAAGCCTTTCCGTGCAGGCACTTTCTTGGACAGCCACCTCCACCACCAGTGATCCTGGTGAAGGACCCGTGCAGTCCACTATGGCGGCGCCCGGTGGAAGTTTAAACTGTGAGGACTATTCAATGTTTCAGGTAACGTTAACGACTGGTTAATTGATCCGTGCAGGCCGATCACGCACCGACGGCCAGTCGAATCACCGCCTCCCCCGCAATTCATTTGCCGCGCTGTTTATTTTGTGCGAGAGTCAATGAATTGGTGACCCTCCTGATTACTAAAGACCTGCACGAGTTCAAGGAGGCACAGTACTCAGAGCTTTCAGTATGTGGATCAACATACCCATGCAGCCTTTAATAACTGACTCTTTAAGCTGGCATAATTTATTTATAGATGTCATGGTTTGGTATATTGTGTTATTTTGTAGATTTATATTTTTATGCTAGAACCTCACTGAACTCGCTTTGCATAATTCATAACTAACACACGTACATTTATTTATTCCATATAGGCTGTTTATGAGGCTTTGGAAAGTCATTTTAGCGCCTATCTCCAGGCGGCAAAAGCATTCTTTCTTCTGATTGGTCAGCTTTTGCAAGCCAGCAGAAGGGCAGCGCTTATCTTTTTATGTGCGGATGCCAGAATACACACAGCTGTATCTGATTAAAAAAGAGCCTCATGCATTACTGCTGACAAAAAAAAAGTACATATTTCAGATTCTTTCACTCAGAAGTCCTCTCAGAGTACGGAGGGTACAGACCAAAGCTATTTTACTTTTTATGAGTAAACCATATGTAGAAGTAGAGTTAGCTTGTAGAAATTAAGGGGGGAAAGCCCTGTTCTTAGTTACATGTAAGCTTGCCTCTTATTCTAACATTAAATTTGAAGATTTAGAAGTTTGGCTTCTTTTTCTAGGTGGTTTTGGAGATGATCATTCATGCTGTCAGTTTGTTTGTTTGGCGAGCAAAGCATCTAAACCACAGTTAAGAAAATAAACAACAACCAATAGCAGCCTATTAGTGTGTTCCTAGAGCTGATGCAATCCCCCCACCCCACTGTCTACACTTTGCCATGCTGTTCCTATAGCAGATGACCATATAAGGAAAGCGGTGGAAACAGAGCATTGTGAGCACAGAATATTACATTAACCCTTTATTTTTTTGCTGAACAAATATGTAAATTCAGTTCAACAGGTTCAAACTTATATTAAAAATGTATTTCTTTCATGGTAGCAGGCTAAAGATGTTTGGATCCCTCCTTAAAAGTATATCAGCTGCTAAATGAGCCTTGTTAATCTTGCCTGCCATCTTGCCCTCTGTTATAAACACGATACATAAACTTATTTCCTTAAGGAAGCAACTTGTTTTGAACCACCATTTTTGGGTGGGGGGTACAGTTGTATCAGATTTAAATCTGATTCCATCTTAATGAGACAAAAGACAGCATATCGTGTTACAAATGTATTTAGTTTTAGTTGATGTAAAGCTGCTGACTCTCTTTGTGTACTTCTGTGTGTTATTTCAGGAGGTACTGAAGGTGATGCGCACTATAGACGACCGCATTGTCCATGCCCTGAACACCACCGTGCCCACAGTCTCCTTCTCAGGCAAAGTGGATGCCACACAAACCTGCAAACAGCTCTATGAATCTGTGAGTGTGACCACCAGGTCTCACCACGTTGTGAATTCAAATTCCCATTGTTGTCATTGCCACACAAACAACAAAAACGTTACCACAACAATAAAGAATAAATAAATGGCATATTTTAAACAGTGAACATAACACCTGGCAGTTTGGTTATGTAACGCAATAGCAGGGAGAGGTGCAGAGGGGACCTGTTAAGAAGTCAGTCTAACATCAAGTGTCTGAGAAACAATTTCAAGCAGCCTCTTTAAACTTGCCTTAAATCTTCACATAGAGTCAGGGATGAACTGATTCAAATCCAGTCTTTCATTTAAGTTCAGTTTCATTTCAAAAAACAGCGTTCACCTCAAGGTAAAGACACCACAATATTAGGGAAAACCTCAGTAATCAGACGATCCCCTGTGAGCAAGCACCTGAAGAACTCCAGTGAAGTAAAATGACGCTGAGGGAGGTGTGGCCCTCTAATGCACATGTGGTGATAAGCCAAAGGTTACTGTGGCTTAACAAAACTCAAGAATTCATACTCTAATTATGACAGTTTCCAAATTTTGGATAAAATTGTCAACTAATGACATTTTTGTATTCAAAGAAGTAAAAGATCACAAACAATATGGCAAAATAAGGGTCTACACAGACCAGCGTTCAGTGCCATAAAACTCAGGAAGCGAGCTTGACGTCATAATCCACATCTGGTCGCATGCTGAACTAGTCATAGTTGCTTACTTTGGAAATGCTGTGCTGCCGGGTATGTGTGTGTGAAGCATCCCTGTTTCAGAATTGGTCCATGTTTCGCAGCGTCATCCATATCTGAATAATTGTCTTGTGTGAGAATCAGCTGTTGTCCTCCAAAGTCTTCGCTGCAGGAGCCATAAGAGTCTGAACAGACAAGAAAGCTGGCATGAAGTCTGTGAAGGCATGCAGAAATATTAATCTCATGTGTGCGTGTGTATTTCTGTTTTCTCACAGATGATGGAGGCTCATCTTAGCAGAGACAAAGCTATCAAGGCTTGTATAGCTCAAACATCAGAGGTGGTGGGACAGCTGCGTGAGCAAAGAGCAAAAGACAATGAAAACATGGCACTAATCAAACAGCTCAGGAAGGAGCAAACCAAAGTAAGTCCTGTCTATAAAAATTCCATGTTTTTTTTTTTTTACATTCTTAATGTAGTTTTCTTGTCATTTTTTTCTTTAAATCTGTCTATAGCTGTTCAGTTGCATTATGGGAGATGTAGGATTCTGTTTCTGCAGTTTTTGCCCATTAAAAGGAATACAAATAAGGATATGTTGCTTTCTGTTGTTTCATTGTTGTTGTAGGTTTAGCAGCTATCTGCACTGAATCCACTGTGGATGCGTTTAATTTAGTTTTTCTGTGCTGTGAGGATCATAAATGAAATGTAAACAAATATCTTAAACTTGAAAAAAGCTTGAAATTTGAAAATATAGAGGAAACCTGCTGTAGCTGACTGAACCTGCAGGGCTAAATGCATCCAGTAACCACTGAGGAAATATAATCCTTCTCTTTTTTTAAAAAATTTGAATAAACAGACCCTGTTATCTTATTAGAGCAAAATAATAATAGAAGTACTTTGTTTTTTTTCTGTCCCCAGTTAAAGCTGATGCAGTCAGAGCTGAACGTTGAAGAAGTTGTAAATGACAGAAGTCTGAAGGTACAGTTTGCTCGCTGTTCTCATCACTGACTCGTCCTACAGTCGCACATAAATGAGCCGTCGCTATCGTGTGTTACTTACTGACGTTTCCTCGGTTCAGGTTTTCAACGAAAGGTGCAGAATCCACTACACGCCTCCGAAGGTGAAATGAAGTCCTGCTTCATGAAAGGAGCTCTTTCACTCGAGGTTTAAATCCAGGCTGGAGCTGAAACTGTGAACTGCTGCTGAGTCCTCGCTGCAGGCTGTTCACCACCCAGACATCTCTGACCTCTTCCCCGACACACAAATATATTCCAGTGTCATTACTGTATTAATTTACCATCATTGTAAAACAGTTGCCCGTGTGCTTCTTCCAAGACAAAATTATTGTACAAAAAAAGAGTTTTTTAAAAATGGAGTCAAATGTTTGTCTGAGTTTGAAATCATTTGTTGACCTTAAACGTCCTTTTTACATGTATTGAATTCAAATGTTTACTATGCACTGTCTTCATCAGGAATTGGTTCAACAACTGCTGGGTTGATGGATTACTGTGACATTTTGGACGAGTCTTCATCAGTCCATCCCTCAGGATGGGATCTACAAGCTTTGATCATTCCTTAAGTTTTCATACATTGTCAAAAATCTGTCTGTCCAAAAATTTGATTTGGTACCAAGCACCAGCAAACAGAACGACACTTCCATCAGCCTCAAGTGTACCTTATAAGAAATCGCCAATCCTCCAAACTAAGCTGTCTTTGTTAAACGTGATCTGTTGTACTTGCTCAACAACAGGAGCTGTATTCACTACGTACGTTGGTATTTTAGTTTTTAGTGCTTCTGCCTTGATCTGATCATTTTCTCTGATTATCAGAGATGTAAAGATCTCTCAACAAGGAAAGGACTAAAACTTCTATTTCACAGAGGACGTGTGACTGCTCGTAGTGTCATGGATGACACGTTCTATTACTATAATGTTTCCCGTTTGAATAAACAGAAGCACTGCAGCGGTCTGTCGCAGCCTCCTGTCAGCAGAGTGATCACACAAGCTCCAGCAGTCCAGTACTTGCAGTTTGTTTCATTTCCACTGGAGGGCCCCACCTGATCACAAACGGGTATTAATGGTATTAATTATTGGTGGTTTAATAAAAGCTGAGTCTTCCTCCTCTTAAAACACTTGAGTAGATTTTCTTTCTAAAATTTCCACCATCAGAAATAAAGCAAGCAAATATATTTACTCCTGTGAGCTGTGTTTTCAAACATTTTTAGGCTGATGCAGATATTTCTTGAAACTTTTCTTACTTTTATGAACATAAATTCTCAAATTTCTTGGACCAAACCACACAGATGATGAACACAGCCAGTTAAAAATAAAAACATTGTGCTGTATGTTAAAAGACTTGCAGAGAAGTCATAAACATTTACTGAAGGTACTGGGATTGTCATTCCAAGAAGAAGAATATAATCAATCAAAATCAAACTTGCAGTAAATTATTGTTACCCTCCTTTACATGCTCTCACACTCTGTCTCGCAGATGTATTCAAGTCCTGTAACTGCAGAACAACTAAAGTCATTTATGGTGAATTTCCATGTGTAAGGAAGTTGTGGAAGAGCAGTACTTTCACACTTCCAAAGAACAACAGAGTGTGATGAAACTTTCCAGTGAAACATTGGAAACAACACCCTTATCATTTGTTCTCTCAGATAAAACAGTGCATGGAAAACTCTGCAAACAGCAATGCTTCCATGTATTTTATATCACGTGTGTAAGCAGGTGGAAATTGTTTAAGAGTGTAAAAACAAACTGAATCAATAAATGCATCCAGGACAATTTGATAACTAGAGCAGAATATGTGCAAAACACTACAGATGACAGCAGACTTCAGGAGGAGCCTCCATTATCCCTGCTCACCTTACTCAGCAGCGTCCAATCATCCAATATAGACACTAACATCAAAGCAGTCCAACAGGGCGCTACAGGGCACTGTAATCCTCATGTATATACTCTCTATATAGTAACTACTTATTTTTTGCATATTTCTTTTCAGCATCTTTGCACTCTGCAACATTGCACCATAAATAAAAATATGCTACATGTGCTGTTTTTGTCTGTGTCATGTTGCTGCTGTCAGTATTGTCTGCATACATCTCTACATACAGTTCGATTTGTCGGTTCAGCTTTTTTCAGTGGGATCCAGCACAGTCACCTGCTGCTGTGATTATTTTGTCTCATTATATTTTTTCTCCGTGTCATGTTTATGCTTCTGTAATGAGAGGCATGGGCGTCTTCTCTTTTTCAGATTATTCATGACCTAATATGAAAATATAAACTTTGAAGAATCAATGTTTTTGATGTAAAATCCACCAAGAGTTTTTCTGCACTTTTCAGGTTTAATTAAATATCAACTTTTTCTCCCACCAATGACATTTACTTCATGTCAATAAAACCATGAATTCTCTTTGTAATACGACTTCATGACTCAAGGAATCAACAAGCAACAAAATATTTTGCGATGCTTTATTTGTCATTTAAAAAATTGTTCATTCAACTGTACAGTGCTTATTGCTCTCAATAATTGTGGATTTAAAGTAATACACTGTTTATATGTTATTCCATTGAATTATTTGATGTTAACAGAATAGTACTTCTTTTTTTCCCCCATGAACAGCTGTTTGGTCGCAATGAGCAGCTGAAGTGTGATCAGATCAGAAAGTGTTGATTGGATCATCTTTGGTGTGGTTTTCCTCCACTTTAATCAGCTTAATCTCTTCTCCGTTAAATGGAGGGGCTTGAATGAGGTCCAGATGAAGGTAACTGGGTCCACCAACATGAACCTTGAGTCAAGAGAGATGAAATGCTTGTAGTGTGTTGAAGACTGAGGATGTTCAGGAATTTGAAGAGCTGCCTACACGAATGAGTAGACTTCCCACAATGGAAACAGCACTCTCTGTGTGGTTTGAGAAAACAGTCAAGTTGTTAAGAACTATGACTGAGAAGAATCCGCCTGTGTACAGCAGCAGGCTGCCTTCCTAGAATTTGGATATCCCCCGTGCGCTCGTCTCTGCATTATGTGCATTACCTCTCTTGGAAAATTAAAACCACAGCAGCTTTTTATAGTATTTTTCATTCACTATCAGCTTACACCAAAAGTCTATTCTGAAGAAGACTATTCAAAACATGCAACACAGTCACCAATCCCAGCAAATTCACCCCTAAGTCAGACTGTAAGATACAGAAAACAAAAGAGCTACATCTCAGACTCTACAGGCTTCAGTTAGCATGTTAAATGTGAAAGTTCAGTCAGAAAAAGACTGAACAAAAATGGCCTGAGTTGAGCAATTAACCAAAGTGACAAACATTGCTCTAAATAATACTCCCCTAATCCAAGTAGTCACCCAAACCTGGACGTGGATTTAGAGGCCTGAGGGCCATCTCACACATTTATTCAGAATAAAGCAAGTTTAAATTAAAATTAATTGTATTTTACATGTTGGTGCAATGTTTAGGATGAGATGGAGATATAACACTCATGCACCCTGAAAATTATGAAGGTCTAAATATGTGTCAAAGGGACTCACTAAACATCAGTGGATTTCTATGGGGCAAACGTACTTAAAGCAGCCACTGTGACCATTGCTGCAGAGCAGAATGAATGATACTGATGGGGACTGTGGGGGTTTGTAGTTAAATTCCTGCTCTTACAGGATCAGTGAGTGTCTGTTTAAAGATTATTAACATACTTTTACATCACTATGGAACACCAGCATTTCTGCAGAGGACAGAACCACCTGCCTTAATCTACCATGATGCTCTGTGCTATGTTATCATGGCAATATGAAGTCAAATAAATACAAATGTAGAAAAATGCACATTTAAAAGAGGACAAGAAGACAGGCAACTGGAAGAGCTTTTGAAGCAGGAAAACTTTTTATGGATTTCTCTTAATTTAACTGGAAATTTTGCGAATACAAGTCAAGGAGGAAACAAGGAGGCAGGTTGGATTATATAAAAGAGATGGACATGTGAGAAAAAAGTATATTCCTTACTGGTGGGGTGAAGGGAGCGCCATGCATCGCAAAGACCAAAGTCGCTCATATATTGTTTGATTATATTTGTGGACTGCCAATTACGCTGAGTTCCCGCTGTATTGAGCCTATCCATGTCTTCGGCTATGTACCACAGGCCTTCAAGCTAGCTGCAGTTAAACCTTTACTCAAAAAGCCATCTCTAGACCCAGCAGTCTTAGCTAATTATAGGCCAATCTCCAACCTTCCTTTCATATCAAAAATCCTTGAAAGAGTAGTTGTCAAACAGCTAACAGATCATCTGCAGAGGAATGGTTTATTTGAAGAGTTTCAGTCAGGTTTCAGAGCTCAGCACAGCACAGAAACAGCTTTAGTGAAGGTTACAAATGATCTTCTTATGGCCTCTGACAGTGGACTCATCTCTGTGCTTGTCCTGCTAGACCTTAGTGCAGCATTCGATACTGTCGACCATAATATCCTATTAGAGCGATTAGAACATGCTGTAGGTATTACAGGTACTGCACTGCAGTGGTTTGTATCATATCTATCTAATAGACTCCAGTTTGTGCATGTAAATGGAGAGTCCTCTTCACACACTGAGGTTAATTATGGAGTTCCACAGGGTTCAGTGCTAGGACCAATTCTGTTTACATTATACATGCTTCCCTTAGGCAGTATCATTAGAAGACATAGCATACATTTTCACTGCTATGCAGATGACACCCAGCTCTATCTGTCCATGAAGCCAGATAACACACACCAATTAGTTAAACTGCAGGAATGTCTTAAAGACATAAAGACCTGGATGGCCGCTAACTTTCTGCTTCTTAATTCAGATAAAACTGAGGTTATTGTACTCGGCCCTGAAAAGCTTAGAAATATGGTATCTAACCAGATTCTTACTCTGGATGGCATTACCTTGGCCTCCAGTAACGCTGTGAGGAACCTTGGAGTCATTTTTGACCAGGACATGTCCTTCAACGCACATATTAAACAAATATGTAAGACTGCGTTCTTCCATTTGCGCAACATCTCTAAAATTAGAAATATCCTGTCTCAGAGTGACGCTGAAAAACTAGTTCATGCATTTATTACTTCCAGGCTGGACTACTGTAATTCATTATTATCAGGATGTCCAAAAAACTCACTGAAAAGCCTTCAGCTAATCCAAAATGCTGCAGCAAGAGTCCTGACAGGGACTAGAAAGAGAGAGCATATTTCTCCTGTTTTGGCTTCCCTTCATTGGCTTCCTGTTAAATCCAGAATTGAATTCAAAATCCTGCTCCTCACATACAAGGTCTTAAATAATCAGGCCCCATCTTATCTTAATGACCTTGTAGTACCATATCACCCTATTAGAGCACTTCGCTCTCGCTCTGCAGGCCTACTTGTTGTTCCTAGAGTATTTAAAAGTAGAATGGGAGGGAGAGCCTTCAGTTTTCAGGCCCCTCTTCTGTGGAACCAGCTTCCAGTTTGGATTCGGGAGACAGACACTATCTCTACTTTTAAGATTAGGCTTAAAACTTTCCTTTTTGCTAAAGCATATAGTTAGGGCTGGACCAGGTGACCCTGAATCCTCCCTTAGTTATGCTGCAATAGATGTAGGCTGCCGGGGGATTCCCATGATGCATTGAGTTTTTCCTTTCCAGTCACCTTTCTCACTCACTATGTATTAATAGACCTCTCTGCATTGAATCATATCTGTTATTAACCTCTGTCTCTCTTCCACAGCATGTCTTTATCCTGTCTTCCTTCTCTCACCCCAACCGGTCGCAGCAGATGGCCGCCCCTCCCTGAGCCTGGTTCTGCCGGAGGTTTCTTCCTGTTAAAAGGGAGTTTTTCCTTCCCACTGTCGCCAAAGTGCTTGCTCATAGGGGGTCATATGATTGTTGGGTTTTTCTCTGTATCTATTATTGTACGATCTACTGTACAATATAAAGCGCCTTGAGGCGACTGTTGTTGTGATTTGGCACTATATAAATAAAATTGAATTGAATTGAATTGAATTGAAAATAATTATTTGGTCACCTCATTTTTTGCCCCACTGCATAATATACAAAGATATTTGTGGCAACTCGATGTGCTTTGTCCACTTTTATTATCGGATTGCTCTGTTAACCAAAGGGAATACCTCAGTTTATTGTATGTTTGACTATAATTTACAAAAAGTCTAAAGCATCATTTCTTATCGTTTCTACAATAACTATGAAATGAACAAATGGAGAGTGCTCACTCAAGTCATGGATCAAGTGACTTAAAGGGCCGTTTTCAAAGAAAACTAAAAGTGTATAAGCAACCAAGGAAGTGAGTCCTACCTGGCCACTGGACAACATTCAGTGACAGTGCACTTGCTGGCATCTCCGGTGGGCAGAGCCCTGATTCAGTAGGGTCAATAAGGGATCTTGTCTCCTCCGTACTTAATGAGAGTGGTGTATCTGTCAGTCATGTCTGGCACATAAAACACCAGGTAGGTCCCATCATGGCTGTCACAGATATCTGCTTCTTGGGCTTCCCCTCTGGGTCCTTCAGGAGAAAACAAAAACTGTTACCTAAATATCAATGCTTTGAATACATTATTGTGTGGGCCACGTTCATGCACTCACAGTGATCTGCACTGCCAGCAGTCCCTCACCTGCATCTTTGGCATCAATGGTGACCTTCACTGGCAGAGAGGTGGGCGCTCCAGTGGTGTTAAGGCCAGATCCACTTGCACGCACCTTGCTGGTATCATGGGTGGGCAGCACCTTCACCTTGTAAGGGCGGACCAAAGGGGAGAGAAGACAACTGACTGTGGAATACAGTCTCACAAATGAAAGGAGCCTTATTTACAGAACCGAGTAAACCACGCAAACAGTTTTCCATTTTCAAAGCTGGCCAGAGTGGAACACTGTAACATGCAACACCTAGAAGGTTCAGATGGCTGCAGTACTTTGCTAATTTGGATCAAAAGTTTGGGGGAAAAATGTAATTAAATCAAGTGATTGTAATGCTGTTACTTCCGTTGTGTAGTTAACCATCTATCATTTTAGATGTTTCATTAGCAGCCTGATGAAATTAGCTGTGTAGTTAGCCGACTTCTGCCATCCAAACAGATGAGGTGAATTATGCAGATCACTAGCACAGTACACAGATTACCACTTCTTATTCCAGCCAGACTTCAGGTACTTCATTCTAATCATGCAGTAACAACAAAGATTTATTACTACTGGCTTTTTAAATTGTGCTTCTCCTGTTCTAGAAAAACAGAAACATGTTATCACAGGGTTTTGTTTCTTTCAATGACATTTGTGTTGGTTGTGTCGGTTGCAGGCAAACATTTATCATAATGGTTAGATATTAGGAAATAGCTTAAAATGTGTGCATATTTAACTTGTTACACTGCCGTAGTGTTACCTGCGTGGGATCTCCTCATGAGCATATGACTGTACCCTGGATGATGATATGTGAGGAGCTTGAACTTGATTCGCTAACAGAAACTAATTTGGCTAGCTTAGCGCACATGTCTTGTGGCAAGATATACGCACTTAAATGTTTTAGGTCATTGGCTGTTCTGCCAAATTGCCACCAACCTGCAACTTTGTGAGCTGACTGTTTCGCGATTTTTGTGTTTTAGACAACAAAAATAAAAGAAAAAGATGTACAGATCCAGGCTTTTCCTTTACTGTGGTAGTCGCATAGAATGACGTCACTGACACTGGTTTAATATGAAAACAAACTTTGCAAAAAGAAGAAGAAGAAGAAGTGAGTCGGCGTGTCATCTTTATCGAGCACCATACATGTTTTGCCTCACATTAAAATTATTATTTTTCCTTTTCAAAAATAATTTATATTCAGAGAAGTCAAATATACAAATTTGTACAGCTTCCACGGCCGGCAGGCGGCGCAGAACACTTGCCGGCCCCTGGCAACTTGAAGCACAGACAGGCGCTGGTTCGAGTCGAGGCTCGAACACTTACACACTCACCCACACACACACTCACTGACTTCAAATCCTCTCTGTGTCTTCAGTCTGCTAGGGGGATTCCTGGTCTGCGCAGGGAATCCCAATCCTTTTTTTTTCTTTTCTTTTTGGGGGTGTTGGGGCCTGTATTTACAAAGCTGGGACTATCCCCGTTGTCATGGCTACCAAGAACAACGCCAGCTTGGGGGAGAGCGGAGAGCCGATAAGCAAACACTCATTCATCCTTTCTCCTCTTTCGTTTCACAGCTGCTGCGGTGGGAAACGCTGGGACTTGTGTGGCTATGCAGTTTTTGCATTGTTGGGAACTTTTAAGGACCAGCCTTGAATTTTACAGATTTGATAAGTGAAGCCTGGATATATAGTGAAGACAGCTGGGATAATCTGGACAGAATCTGCAGGCTGCATCTCCAAATCACAAGTGGCTTTAGATCTGACTCTTACAGACAGGCATGCATGTCTCAGGGTGATTACACACTAACACATTGTGATTAATCACACACATTTGTATACATTTTATTAACAAGATAAAAAAAAAACACTATACAAAATGTGTTTTTGTGACAGGCCGCTAGTAACAAAGTGCTTAAAGATTTCAAATTGGTTCTTTCCCAAGTTTTCTGTTATGTGTACACATATTCCTTGAATTAGGTGCTTTTTAATTCTCCAATAATGGTCAGTGCAAAGTGTTTACACAAACAAACAAACAAGTGTTTACACAAACAAACAAACAAAAAACATTACTCAGAAAATGGTCAGGTACAAGAACTGGATTAAAAAGGATTGGAAAAAACAGATAATGTCCAATGAAATACTTCAGCGTGTGGCTCATGACTTTTGCACAGTACTGTAAATGTTATTAATAATGAAAGATATAAAGATGTAGCTTTCCCATTTTTAAAAAATTCCCATACACATTATTCTTTATCTTCTAGTGAAGGTGCCTCCTCCTTCTGACCTTAGGGTAACTAATTTCTCAGACAGTGACATGACAGTGCGCTGGGAAGCTGCAGCTGATGATGATGTTTCTTACCTCACTAAGTGGAGGCGACCTGAGACAGGTGGGGAAGAACTATTGGATTGTTGGAGTACATATTATGAAGTAAAAAAAATACAATATCTCAATAAACTGTTGTCCTGTGTCTTAAGGAGTATGAGATATCACTGTCTGCACTCTATGGAGATGGAGCTCAGAGTGAAGCTGTGGCCATACGCTACAGCACCTGTGAGTCACACATTTTCTGATCCTGAACGTTTGTCAAACTCAGGAGGGGAGAGCCTGAAACCATTTACCTAAGTGACATTAGCAGCAGTGTTCAGCCTAAAAAATAGACAAGTTAAAAGTCATGCATTTGAGTCATGCATCCATATTATTAGTTTATTTATTAAATTATTTTCGAGACACTGTTAGTTGTTAGAAGCCAGTGTTTTAATGACAGGACATATATGACAGTAATGAGACAACCTAAGATATCCAAGATTACCACAAAAACACAAATAGAATCACAGAAAGCGTGTTTGTCTCCCGTTAGTCTTTAGGCCCAGTTAGCTTTTACTTTTCTGTGGTCAGAAGCCCTTCGTGTCATATTCTGTCTCTATGTACCGTATGCCTGGGCAGAGCCAGTACCCTGCGCAGCTCCAGCTACCTTCATGTCTGCCACAGGACCTGCTGGTTTTGTGCCTGTCTCCCCTGGGGGTTCTGGAGAGCCCGGCCAGCACTTCCTCGTCTCCCCTGGAGGGTCCGAGGGGCCCGCACGCAGCCAAATCATGACAGTGCAAAGCTTTAAACCTCATGTGCATCATTAGTACAGCTAACTGTGTTCAATACATGGTTACAAGGACAAGACACGGTTTTGTGTACAAGTTTTTAAAGATGGACGACTGACAGTCAGGTTTAAGGATGCAGTCAGAACTCAACACAACTGGCATCTCTTTAGTTTTTCTCTCTTTTGGTTTACAGTTAAAAGGAAGACTGGCTATTTTAATGTCAGCCCACAGATCATCATCATCATCATATTACATGATTCTTGGGAGACCAAGATAATGAAAAAAAAAACTATTGGTGGCTGCTACTGCTACCCCTCATCATCCAAGTAGATACACCCATGGTATCAACTTGGATGGTCATGAAGACATGGTAATGGTGATGGGGATCTCTAGTTCAGACTGAAGGAGAAAAAAAATGTTCTTACCATTTTAAGACTCGCACAATTCAATAAAGAAAAGCTTTTGCATATTTTAAAAGTAAAATGTTAACAATTTTTCTTATCTGGCCTCTGCACTCATACAGTATGTATCTTATCTCACTAATTTATTGCACTTCTTGTTTGTTGGTAAGGTGCTTTTAACGCTTTATCTGTACGTGTGTAGGGACTTGTTATAAATCACTTTTCAACCTTAAATCTCTCTCTGCCTATAAGACCTTAATGAAAATAACTGAATTTTCCTTGTATTCAGTGAACAGTGAGTTACCAATACTGCCATTTAATTTTGTCTTCTACTCTTGTGTCTGGTGTGATAACTCTTGTATATGTTGCAGAGTGTGGCATGGTGGAAAAGAACTGAGAGAATTCTCCACTAAACATTTGGGTTGCTTTGGTGTTTTTGTCTTTGTGAGGTGTCTGCCACATCCATGTGGGAGTGGAAGTTCTACTCTAGTCCGCCGTCTAGCTGCCAGCTATTTGGAGTTGAGTACAGGGAGCAGAGGAAACTGGAAGGAGGGGGTGGTTGTTGTTTTGTTTTGTTTGTGAGACACTGTTGCAGCAGGGAAGACAGTTGACCTTGGAGACTCCAGGATGAAAAGTGCACACTTTAAATGACTTTAAAAAAAAAAAAAAAGAAGCTGGTTTTGCTTTTAAAATAATCTAATGATGCTGGAGGGAGGACTCGTTTTAGTTAGGATTCATGTGGATCTGCTGGGACAAAAAGACTGGATTAGAGACCCTCTGTGCCCAAGGAAAGGAAATTGGTCAAGATTTGGAGAAGTTTGAATTTGAGCCTTTGCAGCCTTGTGTCAACTGTGAAGACCTTCAAGTTCCTGGGTACAACCATCTCCCAGGACCTGAAGTGGGAGACCAACATCAACTCCATCCTCAAAAAGACCCAGCAGAGGATGTACTTCCTGAGACAACTGGGGAAGTACAGTCTTCCACAGGAGCTGCTGATCCAGTTCTACACTGCGGTCATTGAGTCTGTCCTGTGCTCCTCCATCACAGTCTGGTATGGAGCAGCCACTAAACAGGACAGGAGCAGACTGCAGCGGACTGTACGGGCAGCAGAAAGGATCATCGGCGCCCCCTGCCCTCCATCCAGGATCTGTACCTCTCAAGAACCAGGAAACGGGCAGGGAAAATCATCACAGACCCCTCACACCCTGGACACAGACTTTTTGATCTGCTGCCCTCTGGCAGACGGTACAGAAGCCTGCAGACCAGGACCACCCGACACAGGAACAGTTTCTTTCCCCTCGCCATCTCCCTTCTTAACAGTTGACCTGTCACACTGCTCCCACTGCCAGACTGCAACTGCACCTTATGTACATTTTGTAGTATTCATTCCACCTCATTCATTTCTGTATTTTATGTATATAAGTTTAGATTCGTTATTTATAGTTGGTTTACACAGCTTTGTGTATGTATGTGTAATGTGTATATATAGACACGTGTGTGTGTGTGTGTGTGTGTGTGTGTGTGTGTGTGTGTGTGTGTGTGTGTGTGTGTGTGTGTGTGTGTGTGTGTGTGTGTGTGTGTGTGTGATTTACATTGCTGTGCTTGAGAGCCACCATCTACCGGAACCAAATTCCCTGTATGTGTCTGCACATATACTTGGCCAATAAACACGATTCTGATTCTGATTGAATCGTGTTGGGATAAAGTGAGAAAATTGTGAAGGATTAAAATATTCCAAGAGCTCAAATTACTTCATCAAAACATGTTTAAGTCACATTTTATCAACACAAATTGCACAGGTTTATTGAACATGAATAAATTGTGTTAATTTAACTCAATTGTTTAAGTTGCTGCCAAAGCAAAACATCTGTGTGCAACAAATGTCCACTATTAACGGTTGGCGCCGCTTTGGAAGCAGAAACTGTTGGTTTGAAAGCCTTTAGTGTCTCCTTGTGGCGGGACTCTTATACTGCACTGTAAGATGTCGAGCAGTGTCAGCGTATGCTAGAAAGTGATACATTAAAATTTCTGGGGTCACCATGAAGAGCTTACTTCCTTTCTTGCTCAGTGTGTAAAATGTGGTACTTAATGGATTGAAAAAAAAAAGATGGCACCCTTGTAGTTCACACAGAGTGGTGATGATTGTTATAATTTGTAAGGTTTGATTGGCCATCATAAATATTTAAACACAGGAAAGTATATATTTAACAATGTTAAGACAAAGCTAATATAGCTGCTCATATATAGCTACTTATAATTTGAAGAGCTGCCTACACGAATGAGTAGACTTCCCAGAATGGAAACAGCACTCTTTGTGTGGTTTGAGAAAACAGTCAAGTTGTTAAGAACTATGACTGAGAAGAATCCGCCTGTGTACAGCAGCAGGCTGCCTTCCTAGAATTTGGATATCCCCCGTGCGCTCGTCTCTGCATTATGTGCATTACCTCTCTTGGAAAATTAAAACCACAGCAGCTTTTTATAGTTTTCTTCATTCACTATCAGCTTACACCAAAAGTCTACTCTGAAGAAGATTATTCAAAACATGCAACGCAGTCACCAATCCCAGCAAATCCACCCCTAAGTCAGACTGTACAATACAGAAAATAAAAGAGCTACAGCTCAGACTCTACAGGCTTCAGTTAGCATGTTAAATGTGAAAGTTCAGTTAGAAAAAGACTGAACAAAAACGGCCTGAGTTTAGCAATTAACCAAAGTGACAAACACTGCTCTAAATAATACTCCCCTAATCCAAGAGTCACCCAAACCTGGACGTGGATTTAGAGGCCTGAGGGCCATCTCACACATTTATTCAGAATAAAACAAGTTTCAATTAAAATTAAACAAATCAAAATCTTGTGGACGTATGCCTTTTACATGTTGGTAAAATGTTTAGGATGAGATGGAGATATAACACTCATGCACCCTGAAAATTATGAAGGTCTAAATATGTATCAAAGGGACTTCTATGGGGCAAACGTACTTAAAGCCAGCCACTGTGACCATTGCTGCAGAGCAGAATGAATGATACTGATGGGGACTGTGAGGGTTTGTAGTTAAATTCCTGCTCTTACAGGATCAGTGAGTGTCTGTTTAAAGATTATTAACATACTTTTACATCACTATGGAACACCAGCATTTCTGCAGAGGACAGAACCACCTGCCTTTCTACCATGATGCTCTGTGTTATGTTGTCATGGCAATATGAAGTCAAATAAATACAAATTCATAAAATGCACATTTGAAGGAGGACAAGAAGACAGGCAACTGGAAGAGCTTTTGAAGCAGGAAAACTTTTCTGGATTACTCTTAATTTAACTGGAAATTTTGCGAATACAAGTCAAGGAGGAAAC